AGTCAACTGCCATCTCTCTCCAGCCACCCAGCTCTGAAGGTAGGCATACAGAAGGAAGGGTGGCATAGTATGGGATTGCCACCTTTACTTCCATGCTATGGTTGCTGGGGGATTGCCTCCAGAGCTGGATGCCCAGCCAACAGTCACCATTCTCTAGCCACCCAGTTCTGAAGGCAGCACATAATAATAGACTTAAAACTAGAAGGGACCTCGAGAAGTCATGAAGTCCAGTCCCCTATATTCACAGTAGGACCAAGCTCTATGTAGATCATCCTTGACAGATGTTTATCTAACCTGCCCTTAAATATCTCCAATGATGGAGATTCCACAACCTTACTAGGCAATTTATTCCAGTGCTTAGCCACCCTGACTAAAGATGTTAACTAATGAGTAATTTACTAGTCCAGCATTTCCCAAACGGTGGTCCACAGCCCAGTACTGGTCCTTAGGAAAAAAATACCGGTCCTCAGAAAATTTTTTGCGAGAGCCCACCTCACTGCCCACAACCCCCAAGATGAATTCTGCACTCCACCCCCAGCATCAACAGAGGTAGCGCAGGCTTCCTGCGGGGTCAGGGGAAGCACGCGTGCTGCTCTCCCCCCTGCCCCAACAGCCGATGTGGTACCTAAAATGCCGGTCCATCGCGCGCTGGGGACTGTTTCCCTGCTGCCTTCCTGTGTGCAGGGGAGCGGGTGGTGATCCAGGACTGCACCGGCTCCAGCTGCTCGGGCAGCGCATGCTGCTGTGGGTAGCAGAGGAGCAAGGCGCATGCTGCCTGTGTGGTTGGGGCAGGGGCAGTATGGGACTCCTCCTCCCCCCTTGCGGGAAGGCAGCAGGAGAATAAAGTCCCCAGTGTGCCAGGTCCAGCTGCTGGGGTGGTGTGTGCTGCTGTGGGGAGCGGAGAAGCAAGACGTGGGCTGCCCCAGCTGTCGGGGCTGGTGCAGTCCAGGACTCCCTCTCCCCCCATGCAGAAAGGCATCAGACATGCAGTGGACCAGCTTGTCAGGTACTGTGCTGTTTGGGGGACGGGAAGCAGCCTGCACCCTTCCCGGGCCTTGGCAGCTACAGGATCCCCAGGTATCAGTCCCTGTCCCCTTCCCCCCCCCCCCAGACCTCCACAAGCACCCTGTCCCTTGCCCCAGCACCCGCAAGCACTTTATCTCCTGCCCTAGCACTCATTGGCACCCCGGAACTCTGTCCCAGCACCCACAAGCACAGCTGGGGCCACAGTGTGGTTTGAGGGGTTTGGAGAGGTTGTGTTTTGTGTTGCCCTGACTGACTTTTCTGTGGGCTAAAGTTGGCACTGGGGGCTTTGGGAGGACCAGAAACAATTTATTTGCATATTCATCATTTGCTTAATTAATATGCAAATAAATGTTACCAGGCCTCCAAAAAGCTTGTGAATGGATTTACTGGTCCTCAGTATCAAAGAGTTCGGGAACCCCTGTACTAGTCGATGGAATTTCCAGGCACTTCCGCATTCCTCCTTTGAAATGGCTGAGGCTCTTATACATTTCAAAGGAGGACTCTGTGTGCAGAACTCTGTGCAGCCAGGGGCCAGCTGCAAGTCCCGCTGACTCCAGACTCGGCGAGGGCACTCACCCTTTCACCTCCAGGGCTCTTGTGCATTTCAAAGCAGAAGCACCTGTGTGGAGCCCGAAGTTTTCCGCTGGCATGTCAGCTTTGAAGTGTACAAGAGGCCTCAGCAGGGGCTCTTGTGCATTTCAAAGAAGCGCCCTCATGGAGCCTGGGGTCAGCCCCCCACTGACCCCAGAATCCATGCTGCGCTGCCGCTTTGAAATGCCATGCAGAACCTGGGCTCAGTTGGGAACTCCCCAGCTGAGCCCAGGCTCTGCATGCTTTGAAATACCGCACTGGAGCCTGGGATCAGCTGGGGACTCCCCAGATTTTGGGTGACATTTCCACTAACTGTGATCAGCTGACTCTGGGTTCCACAGAAATGCCACAGGGAGCTCAGGGTCAGCTAGGGAGTTCCCAGCTGACCCTGGGCTCCACATGGTGCTGCCACTTTGAAGTACGCTCTCCTTCTCCCCCGGTTGCTGCCTATATCTGATAGGGTTAAGGAAGTTAAGGACTAGTCTGACAGGAAGGTTTTCCTAATGTCCAAGGTAAGCCTTCTGTGCTGAAATTTTAGCCCACTGCTTGTGTCCTATCATAAGACAGTAAGGAGAATAATTTTTCCTCCTTCTCTCCTTGTAACACCCTTTTAGGTACTTGAAAGCTGTTATGTCCCCTCTTTAGTCTTTTCTTTTCCAAACTAAACAAACCCAATTATTTCAGTCTTCCCTCACAGGTATATTTTCTAGATCTTGAATCATTCTTGTTGCTCTCCCCTGGACTTCCACCATATTTCCACTGAAACTGGAGAAAGTACATGTAGCAATACTTTGACCCCCCCTACAATGAGCGTATTACCCTCCTGTAACAGAGCGACATCTCACCACTATAGGCACCTCCTGCTAGTCACGCAGGGAATTAGCTCATTGGTGCTGGAGCACCCCTTTCTGGCCAGTGTCTTGCCTGCTGTTACACAAAGATAGGAGAATAACCAGTATTAGGACGCATGTCCCTCCCAGACCATGGCATCATCCCACCTAGGTACTGACCTTCCACAGTGCCCCTACACTCTGGGGTCCTCTCATTCTGGAAATCTCCCACCTCCTGTACCCACCTTGTCTCAGTGACCTACTGCCAGTCTTCACCTAGTACCTTTCCTTTCCTCAGGAGCAAACTGCAATCTGAAATGGCCATTCATCATTGGCAACGGGGAGTGGACCTGCTGCCTTTGCCTACCATGACTGCCTCTCTGCAGTCCTAGTAACCTAGGACCTTGCTTCAGGCCCTGTCGCCTGGGAGCTTGCTTGGCCAGAGTTTCCCCAGCTCTGCCTGCCTTTCCCCAGGCCTGCTTTAAATCAGGAAACTCCAGTGGTGGAGCAGAACCTGGCTGCCAAGGAAACTAGGGTACGTCTAGACTACATGCCTCTGGCAACAGAGGCATGTAGATTAGACTACCCAGCATAGGAAAATCGCCGCTTCATTTTCCTATGCCGGGTAATCTAATCTACATGCCTCTGTCGCCAGAGGCATGTAGTCTAGACGTACCCTAGTTTCCTTGGCAGCCAGGTTCTGCTCCACCACTGGAGTAAGAGTGAGTCTAGCTACACACACACACATACCCCTTATTTATACTGCCCTCAGCTGGGCCCTAACTGGCTAATTCCTGCCACAGCTGCTGGGCCCCAGCTCCACCACTCTAGCCCTCTCTCAGGTTTGGGTTTTAACACTTAAAGGACCTATATGGGGTAGATGCTCCATCACACCCCTGTGCAACTCTCCCTTTTGGATCAGGACCCACAATTTAAGAAATGCTGGTCTCTATTCATGATCTCTGTAGAGTAGAACATAAAAGCACATACACAACATTTCACAGAGGGGAGACCAGATTTCATGGTCTGACATTTTTTAGTCGTGAATTTGGTAGGGCCTTAACTATAGGACATGGCAGGCAGTTAATACCTGAATATAGGCAGTTTTGTTAGATGAGTTTACCAGACATATGTGCAGAGGTGGCAGGCCTGAAATCTCTCAATTCAGTTAAATAATCTTTGTTGCTCACTTTTACAGTTCTATTGATTTGGTTCTTCTAAGACACTAAATCAAGTTTTCATTGATATTTGGTTCACAGATTTGGCATCAAATGATCTGCACTGACTACACTTGTATGGCATTACTTTTCCTTGACAAGCTACTCCACTGAGACTTTACTCTGAACAATGCTGGCAGACAGTATTCATTACTAGAGCTGGACAAGTTATGAACATGATTTATTGAATAAGTTTTGGCTCTCTCTTTTAAGAAACTGCCAAAACAGATCATGAATCTCTATTGTTTGAAGATATCGGCATAGGATGAAACTCACCCTTGCACTGAGCTTATGGGCAATGAAGTCCTTTTTTGAGGGAATCAGGCACACAGATTTTGTAAAAACTGTGCATGGGGAATGATTTCACTCATATAATTACCTGTAAATGATTTACAGAGTGGAAATTACTTAGATATTAGAGCTGCTAACTAGAAATAAGTAACGTGGTATGTTCTCTCTCAGCTGGATGATGAGAATCCTTAAAGTCAAATTTCCAATAAAGCTAACCACTATTATGAATTCAAAATTAACAAGTTAAGCAAGTCTTACAAAGGCAGCTCTTTTTTTTGCACTAGAACATTCACTGAAAATGAACAAAGGCACAATATCAAGGAGAACTTAAAAAAAATTAATATTCCAATACAAGCATTTGCAGAACTTGCCCAGCTTGATTCTCTACTGGCATGAGATATCAGAACTAAAACACAACTTATCATGCAAGTACTGTTATTATTTTGAATAGGGAGTAGGAGTTAGCATAATGTACAATTGCTTGCAAGTGCCCAACTAGGACAAAACTTTTTTTAAACAAAGGCACTCATCAAAACAAAGCAAACATTACCTAGTTCAGAATGAAAAAAAAATTTTTTGACTAGGGAGGGAGAGGAGAAATTTTTAAAATACATTTTCCCTTGACTTGCTTTAGGTTCTTTTGATTATGTTCTGTGCAGATTGAAGATTTACTTCCAGACTCTGCATGAAGGCATAGTTTTAACTTGAAGAAGAAAAAGTCAAATTACCAACTTTTTTAAATGTATAGTGAAATTCAGGGCTCTTACCCAATGACTATATTCTTGGTTTCCATACTGCTTCCACATCCTAGTCTCTTTACCTATTTAATACATTTATCAAAAAGTGATGCTTTACCTTGAATGAGAGCACACTCTTACGGAACTAAACTAATGTTAAAATAATACTGGATATGTTCCTTTTCAGTATTAAAATTAGAGCAAGAAGAGCAATCAGTAGAAAAGTTCGCCAAAAGTCTACACATTGAAGACTCGTATCAAGGACACTCCAAGTAGACGGCTTAAAAAACAAGACTATAAAAGCAGGCATCATTTAATGTATTTTAATAGCAAACTTACAAGAACAGCACAGAAGACAGACAACATTAAAAACATGTACTTGCATGTAGAACAACTCAGTTAGAAAAGTATAGCGAATGGATGGAATCTACTGTATGATAAAAATGCTACAAACACCATTTAATTGCCATTGATAAGAAATTTACTTGTTTTAAAAAAATCCAAATGCTGGCATTCTCCAGAAAAATTTGACAGGTTTATTTATAATTGTTATAAAGTTGAATTGTTGATACTTGTTCATTGAAACATTTTTGACTGCATTAATGCTTTATGTCCCCGCATTTATATTAAAAATCCACACACAAATGAAAATGGAAAAAAAAAAACCTTGCCAATACCCGATTCTGTCCCCTATGTTTCCATTTGCAACCATATACTTAGGTACCTTTTAACCCCATGGAAAAAAAATATCTAACGTTCATTACTACCAATAACAGGAAGAAGAGATTTGTACTGAGAAGGACGAACCCACCATAGTGGAGTTTAAGCACGCTCTCCACGTATGCGGCGTGCTAGCTGGATATCTTTTGGCATGATTGTGACACGTTTGGCATGAATAGCGCAAAGGTTGGTATCTTCAAACAGGCCAACCAGGTAGGCTTCACTTGCCTCCTATTATAGAAGAAATGAAGAGTTAAAAGACTTTTTACACACACCATATATAAAAAGTATATAGGAATCCAAGACAGGATCTCAAGTAATCATAATAATGGTACGTCTAGGATTATATCTGTTGAAAGTACTAAACGGTTAGTATCTTTAATAGTGTGGGAGAATGTCTTTCATTACTTCCCTACAAACAGCTAACTGGTATTACATTTACTTCATCAGATAATTTTCTGTACTTTTGGCCAAATAAAAGTTTGGTATACCACTGCTGTTTAGCTGACATTCTCTGGAAGATGATTATAGAGCTACTTTGACCAAAACATAAGATATTGGAAAGTATTATAACTACAGCAGTACCTCTACAAGTAAAAGAAATATTTAGTCATTTAAAAAAAACACTTTGGGAAATGAAAGCCCATTATTATGATTAAGAGTTTAGTACTACTGAGTTTAAAATGTCTGAAGTAAGCAAGAGTCTCAATTCTTACATCAAGTAACCAAATTTGCTTCTAAAATATAAAACACAGAAACAGATACAGAGCCTATACAGATGTTCTGCAGCTTTTATACCTGTATAGCAAGTCTGTTAGCCTGCTTAAATTAAAAAAAAAAACCATTATACAGATTAGTGTGGCACTTTTGACCTTTACTTGTGAATGGACTAATAGGACAGCTATAGTACTACTAAAGGTGTGTCTCAACAAGCAAAAGGAATACCCTAGGTTCCTGACCTCTTAACTCATGTAAAAACTACCAGTTAACCTTTCTTCACTAGGATTTTTACGTGAATTAGTTATTTTAAGTTCAGCACACAGCTTTAACTAGCAGCAACAAAGTCTAACATATGTTAGAAGTATAGTGTAATGTAGACCAGATACTCTGCCTTTAATATACAATGAAGTAAGCCTATGAGGAAAAGGGGTGCAGTCTACAAAAAAGCCTCAATACAAATTAGCATTAATCTTCATAGGAGTTTTCAATCATGTTAAGTAGGATGAGCTGACCGGATTGGAAAAATAAACACACATGTCCTTTTTGCCTGGCAAGATTTACCATTAGGCTGAGCACAAGAGTAAACCAAAGGGGAAAGTGGGATGTGTTCAGATTAGCCAATGAAATGTTTTAGCAACCTTGAGTTAATTTGCAATCCGTTAATTCCAGGAAAAAAACCTAGTGTAGACAAACCCAAAACTCTTGAGAAACCCCCATAAGTTTCAAAACACCAGTTATAAAAGCTTCATGTCACTATACCACAGACACACGAAGACCCACAGAAATCAGCAGTTGAAGTTAAACATGTATGGGTCACGAATCCTAGACCTCTGCTTTAGAAATAATTAGGAGGCTGCGCACCCAGTTTACTACGCTCGCGAACCGCCCCCCTTGGAGGCAGGCATCTGGCTGGTGGCGAGGGGGGGCAGGAAGAGGTTGGGGGTGCAGCATCTCAGCAGTAGGGGGGAGGGTGCTGCGGGAGAGGGGGAGGTCAGGCTCAGATGGCAGAGGGGATGTGTGTGTTCCAGGGGTGGGCTTGGATGGCCAAGCAGAGCCAGCATGGCCCGGGGAGGGC